AAAAGTCCCATAATCTATTAACACTTAATTTGCCAAGAAACCATTTCGTTTCAATTCCACATCTTTTAAACGAAACTTTATTTAGACTAGATATGATTACTTATCTATCGGTTGTTGTCGCAATAGGAGAAATCGGATTGGAGATTAGTGAGGTCAATGAATGTCAGTGCNGATGAGGTGAGTACTGTCGAAAATGACATACAATAGGGTGATGGTAGTTTGAAGTCAGAAGTCAACTGTCAGTTAATAGACTTTTTTGCCGTATGAGTATACGTTGCCCAGGATGCACCACGTGGAGGTAAGTCTATCGCACACCCTAATCCGTTAGGNACACGTCACGCTCGAAATGAAAGATTTGTTTTGGTCATTGTTAGAACTGGTAGTATTTTCATATTGCAGTAGATAAATATAAAAAATAAGCAACATCAAATTCTAGAAAAAATATGATAAGTCAAACTTTACAGCTTAATGTATCTAAGGTAGTTTCCGAATGAATAAGAAATATAAGGCAAATGATTTTGATTTTAAAACAAAATTATAAAATAACTAATATTGTTGGTGATTTGATTTCACCTTGGCAACTTCTTTCTCAACCATTTTTAATACAGTTTGTTTGTAACTCAGAGTTGCATCTCATTCGTCCAAATTTGTCTCCTGGAAGAATTAAATGCCCACCATGTTGAGCAATTTAGGGTGGAGTCGCAATTTTAATCCGTTAGGATTTAGTCATATCAAATGACAGGCGTTTTGATGGTTATCATTAGTCTTTTAGTTGACTTCAGGCTTCACAGAGGGGAAGGAACGTCAAAGTGAACAAAGTCGAGAGGGGAGAACAGAAGAGTGTTTCATAGATGTAAAAGAGATAGACACAAAGATAGAAAAAAGGTGAGGTAAGTACTATTGAAGTAGTCGAATATGACAAATAGTGAGGTGATGGTAGTTAGAAGGCAGAAGTCAGCTGCCAGTTGATAGACTTTTTTGCCGTATGAGTATACGTTGCCCAGGATGCACCACGTGGAGGTAAGTCTATCGCACACCCTAATCCGTTAGGATTCAGAATATCCAAACAAAATTCTCAATGGGGCAAAATGCTTTGCCCCATTTCCAACAGTAAGAGCTCGCCTTTCAATGCGTCTGTCTAGTAATTGATCAAACATCGTATTTTAGGAGACAGGATTTGCATTGAATGTTTTCATGAGGAGGCAAGAAAGTACTTGGTAATGATACGATTTAAAAGATGTTCATGGCGGACCACTTTGCTCCAAATTCTCAGAACCATTGAAGTACTATTATTTCTATTAGGAAAAAATAAAATTATGTTTTCCCCTATACTTTTTTTCCCTAATTTAAGTTTGAAGACTAAAGCATTGTTTGACGCTTTGTACATTTATAAATATGACAATTATAGTTTTTTTGAAAAAATTCTAGTTAATTCTTAAAAGGCGTGTAATTACATGGCAGTAATGCTAAAGATTTAACTATTTGACATAGGCTTTAATCAAACAAGAAGTAAAAATAATGTAACAATCCAACAAGGAATCGTTATTATTATTATATCAAATGGCAGGCGATTTGATAGTTATCATTAGCCCTTTAGTTGACTTTAGGCTTCAGCATCAACGTGTAAAAAATTCAAGAGGGTGGGGAAACAGAAGAGTGTATCAAACACGAAGGTAGATAAGGTGGAAAAAAGGTGGGATGAGTACTGTGAAAGTAGTCGAATATGACATACAGTGGGGTCATGGTAGTTTGAAGTCAATTGCCAGGTAATAGACTTTTTTGCCGTATGAGTATACGTAGCCCAGGGTGCACCACGTGGAGGAAAGTCTATCACACACCCCACAAGGAATCGTTATGAAGTAGAAAGAACATATATATATATATATTTAATTATTTATATTTCTATTTATTTATTTATATACGCGACTCAGACGAATAAAACGCACCATAAACCAGAGTCTTCATGTATAAGACGTCTCACGATTAGTAGGAAGATTTTAATTGAAAAACTAGGTTATTGGAGTATAATTAAAAAAAACATTAGATAATTGCTGATTGATGTTCAACTGTGAGGGCTCAGTAGGAANACATCGAATTGAAAAAAAGTCGAGGGGGGGGGGAGGACAGAAGAGTGTTTCATAGATGTAAAAGAGATAGACACAAAGATAGAAAAAAGGTGAGGTAAGTACTATTGAAGTAGTCGAATATGACAAATAGTGAGGTGATGGTAGTTAGAAGGCAGAAGTCAGCTGCCAGTTGATAGACTTTTTTGCCGTATGAGTATACGTTGCCTAGGGTGCACCACGTGGAGGTAAGTCTATCCCACACCCCTTTTTTAAATATCTAATTACTACAATATCTAGTCCTCCAAGCATCTATACTTGATGAGGTTTTTTGATATTTTGTGATTGTAAACTATCCTGGGTGCTTGTATGGGAAAAAGTCAGCCTTTCTCTTAATTCCTTTTGGAAGAAAAAAGTCCCATAATCTATTAACACTTAATTTGCCAAGAAACCATTTCGTTTCAATTCCACATCTTTTAAACGAAACTTTATTTAGACTAGATATGATTACTTATCTATCGGTTGTTGTCGCAATAGGAGAAATCGGATTGGAGATTAGTGAGGTCAATGAATGTCAGTGCTCACCAAGTGATCGTTGACCGCAGTACTTATATCTGGGTGATAGGATTCACGTGTCTTTTATGCAAAGCCTCTACCTAGATTGGAATTCATTAACTCCAGAAAGGTCTTATTAAAAGCGGGTTCTCTTTACGAGCCTATTCGCCTTCACTTGAATTGATTATCGATCTTTCTCAACTTCCTATCTTCACTAACTTGAATCTTTCTTTGTCGGACCCAGAACCAGTTACTTAGCTACCATTTCAGTGATTGGTTTGAGAGCACGGTATCTTATTGAGCCTCAAAGAAATCATTTATGCTAATAAATCTAGCACAACCATCGCCTTTTCTTTAATGACTCATTTTTTATTCCTTCCACACTGTTCGCCTTAAATTCCCGAAACCTGAAGTGATGTCTTTGCATGCAGAGACAATAACTTCTTAACAAATTTTTATCATGGGATCAAAACTAAATCGCAAAATATTGACAAACCATTCGGTGCAAGAAGATACAAAGGAGATTGAATTGATGTTTATCAAGGCATCAAGATTTTGGCTTTATTTGAAGTCTGCAGCTATTGAGCTGTCCCCTTTTTAAAACAAAAATTATTTGGCGGGTAATAGACATTACAACTACTATCCTCATGAGGTTAGTACGTTGGCTTAATTCCTATTAAAATCAAAATCAAAGTGAGGCAACATTTTCTCAACTGACATTATATGACATTTACGGATTTATTTGTATTTAATGCGGTATCGAGTATAGAAAATCAATAAATAAGATTGAGCTGCAAAAGATATTATTATTAGTATTTCAATTAAATCCATGCATTCTAAGATTGTTAACAGCATTATGTATTAATGTTCAAAAGTTTTGGATTTGTCCTTTAAGTTTCTGAATGAACTTGCGCACACGCTTGTCAGTTGTTTAAAGGTAGGGGCTGGTTCCGCCATCATGATAATCGTACCTCAAGAGGAACTCATTACCCCCAACTCCGGCATGCTGTTTTATTGGGGGTAGAAGTTTCATTGATTGTAACGATCCCTTAGAGTCCTCTTCAAGGGAGCTGATGTGAACACCTATTGGTCGGGGATAAATTTAATTTTGTCAATCCATATAGACCTTGCAAATCGTGGTTTGAAGATAAATGAAGAATAGAGTTCTCAAATACATTTTATCAGACATTTAATAGTTCGTGCTTGTGTAGGCGTTGAGTTCCATTCACTCGAATGCATATAGGGTCACATTAATAGTGAACCATCCAATTTTTATGAAATATGGGATTTACTCTTGAAAACTGTTAACTGTTTTGAACCTAAACCCCAAGACATAAAGCAGCCCCAATGACGATTTGGGTGAAATGGAAACAAGGGTACACTAATTACTTGAATTGCTTCTCTTTATAAGCCCTGTGTTAAACCGTGTCCCTGAAGCAACACAATATCAGATTATCATCATTTCATAGTGAAATTGCAAGGTCAAGTCAAATGACAGTTATTAATTGAATTAGTTTCCTGTTTTTCATGATTATATAAATTCATTCCACTTCAAATCAATGATTTTTAAAAGATTAGAACACCTCTTAACAATCAAATTTGCTTAAATTACCAGCTTAGACTCCTTACAGTAATCATACACTTTTGATTATTCTTCCTTTCTTAAAGTGGTGGGAGGGTATTCTTTGCACAAATCGGCGAACGAAAAAAAGATTTTTGCATTAAATTCACTTTCCTAAATACCATTTTGCCCTGTATTGTCAAACTTATTTGTCCATGTCTTGATTCACATTGAATGAGGATGGTTCAAACGATATTTTTCAAGGCGTATTAAAATTAGGACTTTGAACCCCTGTCGAAACGCCTTTTTTGGAGATTTCTTTTATCATTCTGTATCTACATGCGTCCACGACCTTTACGCAGGCACATGTATATCTTTACGAGCCAGAGCCGTTCATGAAGTACTAAGCGTTATTACGGTTGGTTGCCAAGTGGGCAAATTCATGAGTGGTGCCAACCAATACGCGGGTACCTTGAAGGACTAACCAATCAGAATTGTGTATCGGCCCTCTTCTTGTATTTAATTGGTCATCCCAACTCTTGGGGCCAGTCACCTGATGCGTTCGTTCAATCGAGCCTCTAACCCGCACATTTTAAAAGATTATTTCCTTACAAATCATACCCTATACACAGAGAGATTTATTAAATATTAAAATGACTTTTTCCTTTTTTTCGGATTATTCCATCTCCTTCCAATGGAATTAGCATGAAAGAGGGAGTGGTTCAAGCTATCTTCCCCTTTCGACTCATTCAATACCTATCGGAAGTAGTTCATACAAGTACAATCGAAGTTTCCTTAGCGGAAACGATTCTCCCTATTCAATGTCCAGTTCCAGTTCCAGTACAAGAAATTACGGTTCTCTTAGGCACGGTAGTGGTCCCCTTGCTGGATATGCACGTTCCACATCTCGATCGGGAGGTCTGGCTGATATTTATCTCCAAAATGCCACTCGGGGATCTAACGCTTCCAAACCTAGTAATGGAAGCTACAATACTATCCCTACTCGAACAAATGAGGTTAAGAATCGTTTCGAAAATGGACCTACAAGTAAAAAAGCAGATGACATTAACATCTCCCCTCCTGAAGAAAAACCTCGCATTAACATCGGAGGTAGATATCTTCAAAGAATGAATTCCAAAGAAGCTAATGAAACTAACATTACTCCAACAAGAGGCTCATGGAGGGAATCTGTATATGGTGTCCAATATTCTCCCAAAGAACCCACTTCCCCAGCCCCAAAAACCCCCATGACCGAAACAGAACGACGGAAACTTGAGCGAGAGAGGCAACTCATGATGGACAAGCTTCATCAACAAAGTTTAGAAGAGGAAAGGGAAGAAAGGCGTCTTCGATTAGCACTCAGGAAGGCCACTTTAGAAAAAGATGAGGCAAAGATCGCGGAAGTTGATTCGGAAATTCGACGACTTCAAATACGACGCGAGGAGTTGAAGAAAAGGGAATTAGATCTGAGTGCAAAACGACCCTTACCTCGACAGTCCTCCTTTAAAGCACGAGAAGTGACACAAAAGGAGGTTTCTGTGACGCAAAAGAAAGAGCCAACTCCACAACTCACTCCAGATATTGCACAAACTGCGTTAAATTTCACTGATTTTGATGAATATTTAAAGAAGTATCTAAAAGGCGACAAGGATAAACGGGCGTCTATATATTCTTACCTACCTGACAGCGACATGGAAGATCCGGGTGGAGAAATGTCAATCGTTTATAAAACAAGGAAAGCTAAGCAGCTCTTTAGTGAAATGCCCACAGAATTACAGCATCTAGTTGTCAGAGCACACAAGCGGCCAGTTCGATTTGCGGCCATTATGGACCTATGCAGGACGGATAAATTTGGGAAAGAGTTTTCCATCGAAAGTGAGCGTAATTTCAAGGGATATAATGATGTCGTTTCGATGATTACAGACTTTGGATTTGATATGAATAAGGTAAGTAATGATTTGTTCTTAAATTTTAAAATCCAATGAGTTTCATGGAGATAATGAATTAATTATTCCCATTTATTCTGCTAGGAATGCACTATGAATTTCAGTTGACATATCACAAAAAATATATTTCTTTTAACTTAAGCTTCTTTGTCATTTTATCATTCCCAATTCAATAGATATAATCCGTAAGTTCGTTAATTAAACTTAACCTTTTAAAGGAACAATGCATTTCTTCAGCATCCTTTCAATTCTAACTTGCAACTTATTATTATACTAATTTTGCTTAGAATTTGCAGACTCAAGAAAGTTTATCTTACGTTGTAGTTAACAGTCTGAAATCTGATGTTTATTCATCGTAATTTCTTTAAGAACATGCTTATCCTCAATATTAAAGTAAAACATGGTCCTGAAGTATCTCTTCTATATATAGCAGCTTCTATTTTTATGTGAAAATATGTTCCACCCACTATACTGAGGAATTATATCACCTGACACTGACTAACTCTAAGTTGGTTTGGCATATATGCGTTCATACAAATTGATACATAATGAGGAATTTAGTCTTTCGAAATTATGGGAAAGTTAAGGAAAGAGAGGTGGCCGTGACCTCTCAGGAGCCATGAAAGTGCATATCATAAGAGCAATGACCTCATTATTTTCATTTTGTAGAAATAGGCCATTTCCAACACTTTTGGTTGAAACAAAATTAATCATGTTAATTACGAATTTGGAGACTAATTCGAAATACCAATGCTGTTAAATTTGATTAGTAATACTTTAAGGTAATTCATAAATGTGATTATAATAATTTATGCAGGGATGTTTTCTTTAGTCGCTTTTAAGGAGAAGATGCATGCTTGATAGTTATTCATTTAAAATAACAAGCGGAATTAAAATTAAATTAATAAATTATTCACTAATATAATTATATATAAATTTATTTATTATTCAAGGAGGCGATTTATATGCCTTAAATGTTACGGTATATTGTGTAACGGCGTCTGATATTACAATGTTCACTTCAAATAAAAATTAGCCTTAAAATTAATTTAAAATTTAAAAATAATAAATTAAATTAATAAATTTGAGTTAAGAATTATTAATTAGAATTAAGTAGATAGATTAATTCGGATTTTTACACTATATAATTTAAAAGGCCGATCTTGTTATAATAAATTAAAATTAAACCTTGGTATCTAGCGCACCAAATGAAGATGTAAATTTTGCCAATTTGGAGAAATGCCGACATATACTTGCTACACATATTATCTTGACGACAGGGATCCATTTGATTATACAAAATCTGGATTTTTGGAACCTCACAAACCCCCTAAATTTCCATTTTTGACTGACGTCTGTTTAAGAACCCAATTACCTGGTCTTCATAAAATATTAGATGCTCCCCATCAAGTAAATTTTCATTTATTTTATTTTATTTTGCAGCTGGAAAATTGCGTCTTACAAGTTTATCGTTTTGGGGCGGAACAAAACTACTTTGGAACGTATTTGGATATGGATTCAACGCTGCAAGAGCAATGGGAAGAAATCAAAAACACATCAGAGGAGTTAGTAAAATTTTTTGCTTTCCCAGTAAAACAATTCAATGAATTCAAATCATATTTTGAATTATAAATGCGCATTCTTCCCTTTGATTGATAAAATTTTGTTAGATTTTGTGGCGAATGTTTAATTACAAATCTTTATCATCGCTAATTTAATTCTTCCCAAAATATTGAAACATATGAGAATTAAATTTTCTTATCATATACGGTGATTATGCTGAGATATTCAGTACACCAGCACTTTATTTATAAATAATAATTCAATATCTTTATTCCATTTATATATAAATAAGTAGTTTTTCTATTTTTTTAGTGGTGAATCAATCGCAATTGTTCTCCGAACTAAATCTATTGTTCGCGTACAAGCAATAATAAGTGAGCGATTTTTTGCTTCGATCAAAATCTTTGATTTTACTATGTTCCCAAGAATAAAGTATATCACGTTACAATGTCGCTATATTTTCAAATAAATATACTGGTTGATTAGTTTTTACTTACGCAACACGTCATGTAATTTTGCGTGTGAAGTTTAAACCACCACCCATTGACTCTTCTAACTCACATCGGCACGCCGTTTTGAGTTGTGCACCTATTTCAAATTAAAAGCAGCCCTCCGTGTCGCCTATTTGCGCACAATTTCCAGGGAGACGCTGATTTCAAACAAATCCTTTATCATTACAATCAAGAATCCTATAACGAGTGAGGTCATGACCTTATGACGCACCAACCTCCAAAATAAAACTGCGCACTCAGAAAACATGGGCACAACATCGCAATATACTACAACATGAGATCCAATTTCATCTGCATATGCTGATGCGTTTCATCTATCGCAGAATAAATTGGAGAGTGAGAGAGCGAGAGAGAGAAAAATAGAGAACGAGAGAACGAAATCTCTCAATCTGTGTTCACATTTTTCCATAATAATTAAATTAAATAAAACGGGATGAGGCAATTTCAGCTTTATTAGCCACATTCAATTCAAAATTCATTACAAACTAATATGTGGGACCTGCCTTTTTTGCCTAAAAAAAGAATGTTGCCGACAGAGGCATTAATTCGGCAGATAGACGCATCTTTTTCATATTTAAATAGGACTTTTTCATGTCATTCTAAAGGTGAAAATGTAGATTAAGTGATATTCGGATCTTGAAATTAAGGGAAAATGTATTAACTGAAAGAAATAATACCTTCTCATTCTCAAGACGAATTTTATTCTCTTTTATACACCTCTCGAGCATATTAGTTAATAATTTATTGAAAAATTAATTAACTAAGTGCTCAATTTCACATTTGCGGATTATGTCAAGTACTCTCATTTTCGTCACTTTCCGTTCCATTTTAAATTTGACAAAATTTATGCATTAAATGGCACTGAATGGTTGCAATGAGTTTCTAAACGAACACCTTGATCGCTTAATTTCCACGATCAATTTCCCGATTAAATGTTGATTGTCACTAATTGGTGTTTATCGGAAAGGGAGGTGTAGTGTAATCTATACATTGGCTCCATGTTATTGGATAATTTCTCCAGCTAATTGATTTCTCATATTTGTTTCAGATCGTTTATATTCCGCTAAGGGCCAGGAATTGCGAAGAGCCTTGTTTTCCTTGAAGCAAATATTCATGGTATGCTCAAAATTTCAATTAAAATTAAAATTTTGTTTTTTGTGTGTGTGTGTTAATAAAATGGATGTAATCGGAGCAGGCACTTATCAAAATGTTGGCAATTAATTGTGGTATCACAGTCGTGTGAATAAACTTTTCGTTTAATTTTTTAATTTATCAATTTCCCATGAGTACGCGCTCATTTTCTTAATAAAAATAATAAAATCCATCTTAATATCAAGGTGAAATATGGTTCTGACTAAGTCTTGAACTTTGAAATCAGCTATTTCTCGTGCTAGTCACTGGAATCTCACTTTCTTCTCAAATGTTTCTATATAAATCCATGTCCTCGAAAAAAACTGATCTTTGACAAATTTAAGTGTTTATGTGTTCTAGAACTTTCTTAAGTGCAAAATACTCAAAATTTCAACATAATTGACACTATTTAGAGCCTTGCAAAATGAACCTTTTGACGTCTGATCATGGTGATACATCAAAGCACCTAAGATGAAAAATAGTCCAGTATAAAGAAAGTAAGTTAGCAGTGCTTTGAATAAGAAGTGGAAAAGGCAGGTGAACCTTGATTTTGATAAGAACTTTTGAATCTCTAATTGCCACCTATTTTGCTGAGCTATGGACTTCTTGTTAAAAATTTTAATTCGTGCGTGATTTTCTGAGTTCTCACTAAGATCTAGATTTCGTCTAGGGCCTTCTTTGTCTAAGCTTAGGAGCATTTTGTTCATTTAAATTGCTGAAAAGAATCCACATTTTCGTTCGATCTTGAATGTTACCTCATTGATTGGTTGGATTGGGTAGGGGAGACCAGAATTCCAATTTCCTTTCACATGGCATCTGTGCCGACAATCGTGTTGTCGTCGTGTTCTCTGATTTTCTAGATGAAATATGACTAAACCTGGAGTGAGGCGAATAGAAATAGCTAATCATTATTCTCGAACATTTATTTATTTCAAATGGCAGGCATAATGATAGTCATCATTAGCCCTTTAGCTGACTTCGGACTTCACGGAGGGGGGGAGAACAATATGGTGAGAAAAATTCGGGAGGGGGGTGGGAAGGAGAGTGATTCACAGACGTAAAGTGAAAGACAGACACAAAGGCAGAGAAGAGGTAAGATGAGTACTGTGGAGGGGTCGAATATGACATACAGTGGAGTCATGATGGTCGTTTGAAGTCAGAAGTCAACTGCCGATCAATAGACCTTTTTGCCGTATCAGTATACGTTGCCCAGGATGCACCACGTGGAGGTTGTAAGTACACGTTGCCCAGGGTGCACCACGTGGAGGTAGCCGTATGCAGTATACGTTGCCCAGGATGCACCACGTGGAGGTAAGTCTAATATACATTGCCCAGGGTGCACCACGGAGGTAAGTCTATTGCACACCCCATGATACCTATCATAACGCCTGCCATTTGAAAACGCACCCCGTATTCTCGAACATAATTCTTTCAAAGCGTAGTAAACTACTGTTTGGTGCCAAGTTTTGCGAATATTTCGAGATATCTTTCAATTCGATCAGGAAAGTGCCTTCCAACAATTATCTCAGGTATAGGTATCCAAATTATCTTATTTCCATCTGATTGATTCTGATTACCCTACTCCATAGTCTAGATGTGGTCTCAATATCATTGCTTTAATTTAACTTTGAAATAAATCTAGATTTATGAGTTTTGCCTGTCGGTTTTGTCATATTTTAAGAAAATGTGCTGAGCCAATGTACACTGTCTGTGCGCTTTCATTGACCTGGAAATTTCTGCCCTAATATAGAAAATCTCACCTATTTCTTGGTTTTGCTATTTTTAACAGCTCTGTTCATTTTACTGCTGTGTTTTAGAGGGTGGAAATAAGTTTCGTGTTAAAAATAAACTACCAATGACTCCATAATCTGTGTTGCTTTCCAAGAAATTATTATTTCAAATGGCAGGCTTTGTGATATTTATCATTAGCCCTTTAACTTTGACTTCAGCTTTCCTCATGGGTGGGGGGAGGGGTACATGTATAGCGGTTAATTAATAGCAGTTCATTAGCTGTCTTCTTGCTTCCCAGTATCTCTGGCTTTCCGTCGTTGTTTTTAGGGCTGGACACCGATTTAGGTGGGTCTTCTCCATTTCCTCCTGTAGGTCACATAGGGGGCATGTGGGTTGAGTGCCAAGCGCTTTCCATGAAATCACATTTAATATATGATTTATTTTCACAATGAGATAGTAATGGACACTTCAAGTTAAATTTTCATTTATTTTACTAAGTTAGACTTACCTGATTACAGGAAAGGGTGTGTGTATTTGTAGACCTTGTTTAAGGTGTGGCCAATATCTCGAGTTCTGGAAGTTGAGAAAAATCCTCCTACCTCCCCCCCCCCCCCCCACGCTCCCTATTCAAACCTAAAGGCAAATATTTTGTCACAATCAATCAGGTTTATTTTGCTGTTAGTAAAAATTAACTTCTCGAGTCCTCATTAAAGGAAGTTTGAAAGGCGTTTCTGATCCGCTCCATGTTAACGCCCTCCCCCCCCCATCATTTTGAATAAAATTAACGAAAAGACCATTGAAAAGCCCCCACATCGTTCTCTTCGTATCCAATGTACAACCCCTACGTAATGCTATTCAAGGTTTTCATCAACAAGTCATGAAATATTGCCATCAGGTAGGTCGGCATCTCATGAAATTATTCTAGTACCAAAGATTGTGGTCTTCATATCTCGATCTGCGTAAAAACAAGCTGATCTTCTTTTTATAACCTGAATATTTCGCTACGATTGAGCCTATATGCAGTATTTATTGATTTTAAGAATGACAAGGATCTGGTTCACGAATTTGTTACTCACTCCGGATTGACCTGTCTCGTGACCGTTGGATCTCAATCTGAGCACACTCACCAGAACTACATTCTTCGAGGTACGCGACATCCGTCTTTTTTCTACATCTTCATGTTTTGACACCATGACTCATCCGCTTTCGACAGATTTCCCAAAAATGATATATATTTTTTGCTGTTGTTGTTGTAAGCCATACTTTGAATTAGAACTGTCTGGACACATTTTATAGCCTCCACATCACCAACTAGTAACTCGAAAATTGGCCAAAATTTTAGAAATTTGTTTTAGTTTTTTTTTAAATTTACCCTTTTGTATGAAGTTTAATTTGGAGTTGCCTAATCCGACAAGTAATTTGACAAGTGTCCTTAGATCTGACTGTGGTAATGTGTTTATTTAATTGGCAAGCCATTATTACATATTTATAAGCCACCAACTTCAAATACGGTAGGTAAATATTTTTAAAATGCCGAATACTTTAAACCCCATTTGAAAAATCCCATTTTAAAGGCGCGAAGCCTTTCCAAAGTTACCTTTGCGGCTATTTTTTCAGCCAAGCGTTTTTTTGTTATGCCAAATGACAAAATTGTCGAATTTTTGTGTGCTTCTGTCTCAGAAAAAGTCCTTAAATGGCGAAGTATTTGAGTATCTTTGTAGGAAAATTTAGGTATGGAGAACGAACTTTCATTGCCAACAATTGACTTGCAGTGGGCAAATCAACTATCTTCTAGACTATTCTAAGCAAACTTTTCTCAGTGTTTTGTTTTTTTTGTTTAATTTTTTTCCTTGTCAATTCTTTTAGCCTTGGGCCAACTCATCCTTTACGTGGATGGAATGAATGGTGTAAGTGAACATCCAGACACAATTCGGTGGTTATATTCTCTCCTCTCCTGCAAGGTATGATCATACTACTTATGTATGCTACTTATATCAAGACCAAAAAACGGTTTTGCACTATTTGTCAAGTTTGGTGTAGTATTACATGTTTGTAAACGTGTTGACTACAGTTGAGATATCTATCCAATAGTGTGATAGGAATTTTTAACCGGTTGTTTGATAAATCCTTGGTCCTTGTTTGAATTCTAGCTTAACTGAGGGTGATTAACAACTAGTTGTGCATGTGCTTTGATTTTTTCTCACTTGTAGTTCTCATTAGTCAAGAAGACTGCGCTACACCTACTGTCTGTATTTGTGGGATATGCTGACACAAATGCAAACATTTTTGTACAAACTGTCGACGATTTCCACAAATCTGCGAGTAAGTCCATTGAATTTGTTTTAGCATTTATTTATGTATGCATGCATAGCATATCATTGGCTTCTATCAAAATTTGTGCCAAAAATGCAATGAGAATTTCATTAACAATCGGTATTAAAGTACGTGCTAATTGGAATCATTATAGATTTTAAAATTTAAATTTCATTCAGTGGATAGGAATAGTCATTAACTAGCCTAATTAGCACACTTTCATCATTATTGATTTTTAATTTTTTGTGTGAATATTTTCATTTAATAGCATGACGTATGCAATTAGTCATTCAATGAACTTTCAAATCAAAAGTTATTCCCAAACTTGCGCAACAACGTATTTTCCAAAACTCATCTTGTGTTACTTGGGGGTAGCAAGTTACCGCTTTTATTGCTCTACTTATTTTAAATTTAATCATTTCTGAAATTGATTTAAATTCCAGTATTAAATTAATTACGCTTTCATATAAAATATGATTTAATTCCTACTCGAGGTAAATGCTATTAGTGCGCTCCTTAAATGAGTTCTAAGATTATTATTATTATTATTAATATTATTAAATAAATTTCAGGTAATATAATGTTCAGAGATATCTTAGAGGTCTCTGTGAAAGTTTTCTGCCCTCGTGTATCACTTGTTTGAAACCATTTTGTGTCCCTGTTGTTTAATTTGCAATCATGGAGGTATAAAACGCGTTAGAACTGACTCGCTATTAATCATTTTAACGGAGTAATACTAAAAAATATAGCAAATTTTGTCTGTTCAAAGCAGCTGAAAGTATTTAAAAGAACCTCGACGTATCGAAGTGTCTTATTTCAACTGATTTATTTTTTTCTGGAATCTTGACACAAAATAGCAGCCAAATCGATAGCTTTCGTGCAAAAATTAAAATTTAATGAAAATTTTTTTGTTTTTTTTTGGCAACGAATGGCTGACCGCGATGTTGCCTTCCGCTTTTTTCTGATGAGTGAGAAGGCAAAACGATCCGGCAATGATATTTAGTATCTTAAAATTTTAATATTTAATTAGATGAACTCTATGAACCATATGTCCTTGAAATCTTTTCAGAAAAGAATATGTCCACTAGTGATTGATTGCGTCTATGCATCTTCATTGTTTTGACAACTTTTTTTTTGTTAACCGAATATATACAAAGACGGATTTGGATTTCTCATTCTGGTTTAAAATTGAAGTATATTGAATCTCGCAATTAGAATACGGTTGTTCTAAGTTCACAACTGGAACTATCCGAACAAGAATTTGGTTGATTGGAGTTTCTGAACAAATAAATTATAAGAGAAATGGCATTTCGTTCATAAGCCAGGCTTCCATGCAGCCGATTGTTTTTCGTCATAATGCACAGTTAATTTACTGACAATTTCATTTTGTCGAACCAATTGAATATCGCCTTTAGTCTCATTTCACTTGAGAGCAATTCACTGAAGTATAACATAAGCTTTACTATATTCGCCATGCAATTTATTGACTAGAAGAAACTAGGAGGGGGAGGGGGGTTCGCCATGTTTTCTGTTCATTTTTTGTTAATAATTTTCATTTCAGACATGTCTGTATCGTGTCATGATCAAATTTAGACCATCAATAAAGTTTTCACCACTTGAAGTGCAGTTAGCTTACTTGTAGGTCCAAACTGAGATTTTTTGTTGTTGCAGCAAACTAATTTCAAATCAAATAAAATAAAGATTAAAGTCGGGAAATCGTGAAATCTAACACCTTTCACTAATAGATAGATTCAATTATTATTTAAATTTTAATTTAAAAAGTGCCAATATATTTTTCATTATAATTCAACCTGAGTTTATCTTACTCAATAAAATAATTCGAACAATGGATATATAAAGAAAATATTTTCAGCAAGCTGTTTTTTAAGCATAATTTCAATATTTTATGCAAATTTAGAGCTTTATTTTACCTTGAAAAAAACTAATAACTTGGTTGGAATATGTGATCAAGTGTCTGAGGTCAGATGGAAACCTTAAACAAATTTGAGATGATATTTTAAGTAATAAACCGACTTTGTAAGATAAATGAAGTGTTTAAAAGACAGTTGAAATAAATGGCTATTTATTATCGGGTAGCGTTTCATTATTATTAGCAAATATGACCCAATTTATTTATTTTTCACCTCAAGAGAGCAATGGAAAGCCTTGGTCTTACCTGATTGATCTACTTCAAAATGAGTCAGGAGATTTGGAATTCAGCCGATTGACAATGCTTCTGATCAACAAAGTATTAGCAGCTGTTCCGGATCAAGAAACGTTTTATGATATCACCGACTGTTTGGAAGTCCAGGGAATGCAGGAGATTTCAGATAAGCTCCTTAAGGATCCTAACACAGACCCCGTACTCGTGGAACAACTCAGAATCTATGAGGTAAAGGTCATAATCTTTGCTTACTTTGAATAGGCTTGTCTACAACAAAAGTAAGAGAGCTTAATGCTAATCAGAATGAAAGTTGACTTTCATTGGTTAATTGCTCTACTATCAACCAATCAAATCTGTGATAAATTAACAGGAATTTTAAAATATTAAACATCAAGCCGAGGTTGAAAGCTAATCCTCTTATTACTGATAACGCGTTAATTAATTTATTTAACAAAATTTGTGCATATTTTACTTAGTAAATTGCGCTCCACAAGCGCTGTTAAAATTTCCTAGATGAAAATTAACTTTTCTATTTTATAGGCGAGTCTTATTTTCGAAGACGGAGGAACGAAGAGCCAGGTGAATTTGGGCGAAAAGTCCTTGGACACCATTCGCCAAACTCCACGGCCAAGTCGAGCGGAACTCGCTGGCACACCTGTGGAATTAGTTAATGGAGAGCCCGTTCGTAAACGACGATCCAGACGCTTTTTCGCTGAGGAAAGTGGAGCCACTGTGTATGTGTTGGTTTGTTTAAACGCGTTTTTATTAACATTTCTACCCTTGGGCGTAATGTGTGCACATTTTAACTGGTGCAATAAAATGTGCTATTTGATGGTATTTCATGGTTATAAGTTCAATTACCACTTTGGCATCTTTATTCTATTCCTTTTTTGCATGATCATTTAGTACTTATTGTTTAATAACCGTCTATTTTCAACTTCCAGTTGTTTATTGTCTTCTGATTGATTTAAAATAAAATTCGTACTTTAAGAAGTGAACATTCACCTTCGAAAGCCGATAACTTTTTCTTCGTATTATTTAAGACCAAAAGAGCTTGGATCCCTTATTGGATATCGCAATCAGATATTGCAATTTCAAGGCCCATCTTTGCGCACCAAGATTGCAATACTCAATGGAGAGAGAGAGAAATAAATGTCGGCTGACACTCCCCAAGATTAAAAAAAAGTTAATTTTATGTTACGTGGGCGTAGCTGAAAACGCACTACAGGATTCGTAGTGATCTTTAAAAGTAAAAAAATGGAGACACTTTGGAGTCGTCCTCAAGTGGAAAGACAATGCACTTCCCTGCTGATAATCAGTCACAAAAACTTACCCCATTGTGAGAATTCTGTTGCTCCTTAAGTATTACTAGAATTTTCAAGTAGTATTTGTAATTTACAACCACCAATATGAGAAGTGACTTGTTGGCTTTTGCTCAAAAACTTCAAAACAGTCTTCACATGATGGTGTAGGAGTAAAGTACAATTTTAAGCGTTTCATTATCGATTATGTTCAACAGCGTGTTAGTAAATTGAATTGACGTGTAGATTTAGAGTTATATTTTAATCATGGCAGTTGTCGTAATAATTAGTTCAAGCCAGATTTACAAGGCATCAAGATGGAAGTACCTTTCCTCATGCGTTTACTAAATTTGGCTGATAACATTTTTTGGTTCATTTTAATTAATAATTCATTTTTTCGAAATGACGAATTCAGGAGAACTTCGTTTTACAATGTATTTATTTATTTATTTATATCAAATGGCAGGCGTTTTGGTAGTTATCACTAGCTCTTTAGTTGACTTCAGGCCTCACAAAGGAGAGAGAAAATCAAAATGAGAAAAATTCGAGAGGGGGAACAAAAGAGTGATTCACAGATGTAGAAGAGACAGAGAGGCACAAAGGTAGAGAAAAGGTGAGATGAGTACTGTGGGAGTTAGGGAATATGACATACAGTGGGGTGATGGTAGTTTGAAGTTCGAAGTCAACTGCCAGTTGATAGACTTTTTTGCTGTATGAGTATACGTTGCCCAGGGAACACCACGTGGAGGTAAGTCTATCGCACACCCCACATTTTACAATGTAGTCCTCTTTGTTGCATTATAACAATAAATTTCTGCATTATGCATTTGAAATCACCCTCTATCAATCGGTTTTTTCATTCATTGCTCAGTTGTCTTCAGTCTTTAATCCCACACAAGTTGAAATAATCCCAGAAAATGACATATTTTAATGTGTCATCTAGTTTGTATGATTCTTCTTTGTTTGCAGAAAAATGGCAAAGTCCTCAGTCAAATTATCTAATTACCAGAATTGCCGCATTTCCACTTAAATATCCCCACGTCAATCAACAAAAATTTGCATTGGCAACCCAAATGACGGTCATAGCGATTCTTACCTCTGAGTGGTTCCAAAAATATTAAGGCCGAATGGACGTTGTTATCGTCCACACTTCTTGGACTAAATGACCTAAATAGTAATTCATCATAAATAGTATTGACAAGCAATCTTAATGACTCCATAATCTTAGTCTTTGTACTAGATTTCTACTACTGATTCCTTTCCTCCCGCAATTAGTCTGTGAAATTCTCCACTTGTCATATAAGTGGATTTGGCTTAATAAATTAGGTGACAAATTAGATGAGACCTCACTTTGTGAGCAATCATTGTCACGAGAGGTTGTGTTGCAGCGCTCTCGTCTCAAGTAGAAAAAAAAACAAAAGAAAAGAAAATGCTTGAATCGGGTTATTTGAGTGAACAACGCTGCTTTTTAGACCAGAATGAATATTACTTCCTGTAAGATGACATTCGAAGCGGTCTCTAACACATTTTTACCGAATTCCTTTTTTCTCTCTCTCTTTTAGAAATGGATCAGACGAGCGTAAACCTCATGCCAGAAGAATAACAGATGGAATTATTGCAGATTCAAGAAGACATACCGCGGGTAAGTTCACGTGCTGGACTTTCCAGAGGCTCTTTTTATGAAATACCTATGTTTTGTTCTTTCGAGACTAAAGAGTAATCTCTGTTTTTTTTGTTATTTTTCCTTCCATCGCCCCTTGTCTATTAAATTCACCGCTTTTGTATTGATGCTCACTATAACAAAAAAAAAATAACTCTAATTGTCATTTATTTACTCACTGTATTTAATTTGAATAATCTTGTCTCGGAAAATTATTGTCTCCTTATTTGGCTAACCTAATCGTGCATAATGCTTACTGATTAACAAAATGGTGGAAATGATAGAACTGCAACGACAAACTGTTCGAGAACTATACGAAAATCTCATTGTCGATGAAAGCATCGTTGAGGAAGAGGTATCAGACGAAATTGCCAACGTGTCTCGAGAAAATGGAGACCAAAAAGATGACGGAGGTGATAGTGACATAGATGATAAGCCACCTCAAAGAATTGTCTCATTTTCTGATGATCAAATAAGCCCAGGTAAGCTATCGAATAAGAATTGCTGGCTTTAAATTAGGCCTTAATTGATTTAATTTCTTATTGTAATTTTGATTTTACATCAGATAATGGAAGTGGTGTTAAGAGCAATGGTGAACATGGAGAAGCAAGAACTGATGAATTGAAAAATTATCAGAATGGGCTTAATCACAGAAATCACGCTGGAGAACTAATTAACTATTCTCAACAAGCTTCCTCAACACTAAACGACTTGGTTCACAAATTTGGTGGGTAGAGAGTGGTAAAAAAATTCATCGATAATCAGGCTTTGCGCGCAATAACATTAATTACTTAATTGAAGTGCCACCCCCAAGTTGTGAAGTTGATTACCACTTATCTGCTAATTAGGACAGTTTGTTGACTAGCCTTTACAATCTACCGCTTTCACTAATAGCCTTTTTTGCATTTTTTGTCATTGATTCAACCCCACGATTTGCCATTTCAATCTAATCCCCGCTTCCACTGATTTGTATTGATTATTGGATTTTCAGGAATTCTGGAAAGAAAGGTATTCATTCTTTGTATTTTCTTAATTTTTTAGAAGAAGGTTCAAAAGACACCGCGAAATCGGAGGTAAAATTTCATTTTAATTGCTTCTATCTTTTAAATATTAATAAAAATATATGACATAAGTTCATAATTTATATCCACTACTACTTCCTGTAGTGTCCAAATAGCGTTATACACTTAAATTATATTTTTATATTTATTGGGCTATAGACCGTAACGTAATTGGTAATTTTGCAGAGTTGAATAATTGATTACAGCTGGATTTTTTCATTTGTTTTTTTTTAAATTTACTTCCTTTATATCAACCTAGATTTTGATGAAATTTTTATTATCTAATATTAAAATTACTTCCGTTTTTATTTGAGTATAAAATTGAATGCTGGGTTAAATTGAAGTAGTTTAAATATCTCAAAATATTTTGCCTCGAATTTAATTTTTTCAGAAGACGAAGTTCTAAAATGCAGAAGAAAGTAAACGGATGCTTTAGCCAAGTTGCGTCTTTAGCTATAAGGGCATTCTACACTTATCTCCGATATTCTATCCGAAATGATTAGTTTAGCTTTGTAAACAAAGTGAAAATAGATATTGTTATTTTATGTGTTCTATCAAATTATTACCATCTCTCCCATTTCACTTTTCTGTCAGACGGCAAATGATTCCTCGAAAACGTCTACCATCAAACCCGGATCAGTTTCTGCAACTAAAGAAAAGTTGGCCGCCACTATCGGGCGACTAGGTATGCCACCAGGAAGTTCTTCAGGTGATAACGCAACTCCCAAAAAGGTTGGTCAAAGCTTAATCTTCTTAATTTTTGCCACTAAAATGCCCCGAAATTAAATTTCCAACAATGCCTTCAATGGTCTTTCTGCGTCCTATATGCCATATCCCAACTTGTGAAGGGTTACAGACAATGAGAACTTGTTACAGTTCAATTCTAGTCATTTTAAGTATAGTTCAATTCATATCGTATCACATAAAATAGGTCGGTTTAAAAGTTATTTCAGTAATGGCGGGTCGGAGGGAAATATTTAAAATTCCTTTTCATAGTCACATTCGTATCTTTACACGTTCAAAAAGGAGATTGGAGTTCGAACGTTGAGTTGTAGATTGTTGCTGTTGTTGTTATCTAGAGGTTCATTTTTAATGCAGACATGCTTTACTCTCAGAAATGGCTCGGGCCAAGTTTTTTTTAATAAAACTACCTTTGGTCCAAAATTACTGCTTTTAAGCCTTAGCTTCAGTTGACCTTGGTCATATCGACCCGCCCAGCTTTTGGTGTTACGACCGATGATTATTTGAAGCAACTGGTGATGAAAAGAAGTCTGCCGTCTTGTCTTTATTTGAGATTGGGGATTACAACCTTTGTTTCTACCTTAGCAGAGTTCCTTCATGATGGATTTGTAATGCTAGACAATCTATGCATTTGCTAACCTTCATCCTACATGGAACGGCTCTAGACTAATCCCTTTCCACAAGTACTGATTGTCCACGAATAAATGAAGGCAAAAAATTTTTCTCCTACCATCTACTTCCTCCCTACTTTGATACGGTTCTGTTCTATTTTTTTTGCAGGCGCCTAAATCAAGGCCTGGTGGTATACGTTTAGTGGATCACATTAGGTGATTTCTAGAAATGGGTTACACGTATATTTTAAGCGGTAAATGTTCAACATCTGTTAACTATGTCACCGCAAGAAGATAAGTGCCCATCACTTTCAAAGCTGTCATTAAACTGGAACGCCCAATGAGTCATACATGGCGAACCGAAATTCAGTCTCTCTGCAGCATTTGTGCCATCATTGCTTTTATCGCTATATGCTTCACTCTAATTTTTACTACTTGGTAGTAATTTTACTCATGAAAAACCAGAACCTTGTTCATGGGGGGAATAATTGAAATACGTATAATACTGAACTGTTCTAATTGGATTTAGGAGTAGGTAAAGGAATTGAAATTTCGAATTTCCATTTATAACTGAATTTTCCCATGTTTCATATCCTCAAATTTCGAATCCCACTATTCATTCCCTGGATTGCAAAACAGATGTTTCTCCATAATGCTCAGTGATTATGGACAAGTTGTAATTGTTTAAGTTTGCTGGCCTCGTGTATACTGTCGTTTCTCTTCAACTTCGTGATAGGTTATAATCCTATTTCAACCAGTTCATCAATTCGTAATTTTAGTATAACCAAAAAGAGAGAGTTGAGAATATTTGGTTAACTGAATTCATTTTATAGGAAAATACACTTTCCAGATAGATTACTTCAGAAGTCATTTTTTTTCGAATAGGGTCAGGCATAGTTACCTCTAACTGTATTACTTATTTTAAAGTTTTTTCATCAGTTTTCATTTTTGCAAAGTTCTATTTTTAACTTCCGGGGAACAGAAAAAGTAGTTAGAGTTTCAATGGGAAAATTCCCTAACTTGCTTATGTCATGACTATTGCTGTAACTTAACTATCCACATTTCTAATAAAGTCTATCCAGGCATATATATTTTTAACTTCCAGGTTGAAGAGGCAAAACCAGAGCCTCCAAAGTTGAAGGACGTTGATTACTTTTGGATAGAACACGAGAAGAAGGTGACCACCCGTCCACTTCGAGTGAAAGATCGTGAATTTGACGATTTGGACAATTCGGAGGATGAGTCGAATGGACCTAGTGGTCCTGGTGCTGTCCCAGCGATGAATGGTGGAGTTCCACCTCCACCTCCACCGCCTCCCCCTCCACCTGGAGGACCCCTCGGACCCCCACCACCTCCTCCGCCACCTCCCCCCTGTGGACCAGGTGAGTTCTTGTTGCCGTCACTATTTCACGAACATATTCAGATTTATGTGAAGGCACTTTGATTAAGTAAGAATTTTCTAGACAGTCGTAAGCCAATACTCTTTGTTATCTCAAAGGAAACCATAAATAACGCAAGTACTTTTCACATGTTGGTGTTGGCGTTTAAATGAAACACCGCCCTGATGATGCTGTCTTGCGCATCGTGTGCCAACTTATCAGAGTGGAATCTGGACGACCAAGCAACTTCCGTGGGAATTGCTTATCGAAATCTAGCACAAACTCGGTGGTTTTGATCTTTGCCTACAGGCGGCCTAACAGTTATTATCATTATCACTGTACCTTAGTTTAGTGACTACAGTGCTCCACTTGTATCAGGCAAGTTATTTCTTGTTTTGGGTGCAATTACACAGGCCACCTGATAATGGAAGTTTCGAAGAGATCACTACATTCAAATGCTTTAAAGCCAGATCTAAGTTGTTTGTTGGCGGAAGAAATTGCTCTAGTCTATAATTTGCTTTAGTTGCAACAGGTCAATCTTCATGACTGTAAGTGGTCAAAATGAACCTATATGTGCTCAAATGAGCAGTAAAAATTCATATCACCAGCCGCCCTTATCTGAATCTTCGCAATTACCAGGTTCCAACATATTAATCACGTGATCTCTCTTCTTGGTTCTTTTTAATTGATAATGACCAATTACTATCAAAGCTCACTAAACAAATCGAATTTTTAAATCTCCCTGGAATTTTACTAATTAACTTAAAGCATACGGATCTTTTTCTAACTGCAGTGTTTAAACCGCTTCTAGCACACCATTTTATTTAATTTGCGCGGCAAACACTTTCATGCGCATTCATTGATGCGTTCATAACTAAATTAGCTATAGGTATTAAATTAAATTACGCCTGTAGGTCATTTGCAGAATACCGTGGCTACACAAAAATCTTGTATTTACTGTAGATTTTGTCAGAATGTAATTAGTGTTAATTCACACTGCCATGTGATCTTCTTTCATGGGTTGAGAAGGGAATTAGCTGTTTCTTTGACTCTGATCTGCTTATTATCACCTTCTCAAATGGATTCTATTAACCGAATCAAAGAAAAAATATTTATATGTACGTCCTCAAAGTCTCTACTCGCCGACCTGTCTAATAATTAGAGCTTGTGACAATTGTAGCAAATTCTCAAAATAGTCACAATTGTTGCGAGTGAGCGGTACTCAAACGATGCTGTCGTAGTTGATTTTCATTCTCTTCTATTTACTTGTATCTTTAAGTGGAGGGTAAATACTTGCTATTTTTTTGTCCCTAAATCTTTCTGAGTCATTTAAACTTGTTAGTGTAGGAACGGATTTCTCCTTATGAGTTTCTCATTATCAAACACGCAGTCATAAAGAATTATGCGTATTTGTCGTAGTTTCATAGACATCGCATTTGACTCTCAGTACCACCACTTTCCTGTTGCACAACTTTCGAGGTTAACACCTCCTCTCTCATTACCTGCGGTTTTTGGTCTATTTTCTTCCACTTTGTTGATTGATCGGCTTCCTGGAATCCTGAGCGTTCAGTAACTTTCTCATGTGTCTTACCAACGTCTTTTAAGTTGTTGCTACCTGTCGGTACCTTTCTTGGCTTCAAGACGTCATTTAAGCTATGTGTGTGTGGGGGGGGGGGGCATTTAAAGAATTGAAAGTCTTATTATGGTAGACAATTGCACTTCAAGTGTGTTTGTGCGTCTGTGTTTATGTGATTTAAATATTTGGAGGGAGGTGGGTTATCTGGAAGTGACAAGTAGCGAAGTTAAAATCAATTTAATGATCGTTGTTATGGCTGGTTTACTTATGAAGATCTTCTTCCACAAGTGGTAATGGATTTAAGCCCGTCTGGATGACCGGAAGCCCTTTATACTAATTACAATTTAAAATTCGGTTCCCCGTCAATTGAAGTAATGTCTACCCAAAATGCCCAAATTTCTCAGACAAACGTGTCATTTAAAAATGAAATTGCTCCGGTGGGGCTCTCACTTTGCCTCTACCTTCTTACATCTGCAATGAAGAACTAAAAGCAGTCTGCACATCTCAAATTTTCGTCTTTTAAGGGCTATGAAATCTATAATTAGTGTAATGTAACGTTTCCGGGTACTGCGTACAAACACATCTGACCTTTTCACACCATGCTTTAATGAGCGAAATACAACTATGTGGGTGGGTATGGGGTGGAGGGCGTGGGGTGGTGGGGGTGGTGGGGG